GTGATTGCCAACAATGTCTTATGTTCATGTTATGATGATTGTCCACAATCACAAGCTTTGATGGATCTAGTATTTGCACCAATTCGTTTGTGGACTAAAGTATTTCCCTCTAACCATCGCCAGGAAGAACTTCACCCATACGCGAAAACTCTGGAATACATCTATTTTAATTGGTTCAATGGTAAACTGCTATGAATAAATATATTTTAAAAAGACGTGTAATTTCTTTGTCTTGTTAATTCTTTTTTCTAAAATATCAATAAAATAAATATTTTACAACTTAATCGGGATAATTATGTATTTACAGTAATATTCCATGATAGATCACATTTTTTTCCCCCGTTTTTTTTAATGGACACTTTATCCTACAATAATATTTAGTAAAAAAACCACTTATGCCAATAATGATCCATATATTTAAGGGTATCAAAAAGTCTATTAATATATTTAATTAAGTATACAATAAAATTTAAATTTTGCGAATTAAAAAAGGTTTATTATAACGATTATTTCCTTTTGTGTAAATTACAATTATACTAAAAACCAAAATTCTACTTATAAAACAACTAATAAAACGTTCTAAATTAAGTTTTCTTTAAAAATAAAAGAAAAAAAGAAATGTTGAAAAAGATTAATATTTAATAATAAGAAAAATTAAAAACAACTAATATTACACAAAAGTTAAAGTGCTAAGAACTCCACAAACGAAATGCTTCTAAAGAAAAAATATAATACTCTCAAGAGTCCCTAGAAAAGAGAGAAAGGTATTTTAAAATTTTTTCAAAGAAAAAAAGTATTTTAAAATAATAGTCCAAAAAAAAGTAAAAAAGAAGTGAGAGAAAAGAAAATACAGTTATGCGAGATTTCAAAAAAGGAAATTCTGTACAGATCCTTTCATTCCCGGCCAGATTTTGTGACGTAATATAATGAATAATTTTATTGTATTTTCATTTTAATAAAAAATCCATATTTAGATTACCCCGAATAAATAATTTGAATTATGTTATGTGATATCCTTGCGGTCGTATTTACTTTTTTTTAATCCATCAGAATAGTTAAATTTTAATTAACCGGAAATGTATTAGTTTAAAGATTGGTTATTGTATTACCACGACTAACCATTTTTATAATAATAATTTTTTTTTTTTTTTATTTTTATTTGATTTTTTTTAGGGGATTTTTTTTAAATTGTTCTTTTTTTGGTTTGGGTCAAGACTATAATCAGATTAGAACTATGTTGGTGAGATCTTTTTTGTGAGAATTTTTTTGATTTAGTGAGAACTTTTTTTGTTTATTGAGATTGTTTTTTTCAATATTATTTCTGACTAATAAATTTGAGTTGACGAATTTTTTTTTAGTGAGATTGCTTTTAATTATATAGATACATAACAATATTAATAATTTTATAATTAAATCTAAAGTAAATTTTTTCTGACGTTTCCGCATAAATAATTTGAATTGTGTAACTTGAAATCCTATGCCATATAATAGTAAATATATTATATCCAGAAATTTTTCAATCATAAAAATTTTATTATTTATATTGTTATTTTTGATTACATTTTTAAGATGTATTGACGAACCGTTTACGTAGTTAAACAGTATAGTTTAAGATGTGTTCATTTAAAAATTGTTCAATAGTTGACAAGACTTACGTATTTATGATTAATACTAATACTATATATACAGCATTCGGATGTTTTAGTAGTATACTATAAATAAAATTCTAAATAATATATATTCGTTTTGATTGCTTTAAAACAGTGCTTGGATTTGACTGCGCCCAAGCCAATTTGTTTGGAGTTAACCGATCGGCTAAATCCAATGACCAAAATTGACGGCCGAAGTTAAATGGGAATTGGCTGTTGCCAAGTTGACCCGCCAAACATAATGTTGATCGAATGACCAAATATCAATTTTTCATACTTGGTTCATTGGCAATTAGCACGACAAAAAAATTATTTTAATAAAATTATTTCACACAATTTAGTGATTTTATTAATGGAGAAAGCGATTTTACTGAAGATATTTCAGATTAATTGTAACTTTGTAATTTTCAAATAAATAAATAAATATAAATTTTAAAATATACGACATTCATTTCTCCTCTCCTCTTGGCGTCTCATCTCCTCTTGGAGTCTTTGTTGTCTCTCCTGTTCTCTTTGTAATTCTTCCATCATTCTCATACGTTCTCGTTCTGCTTCTTCAAGTTGTCTTCTATACATTTCTTGAAGTCTTTGTTGTTCTTGTCTTTCTCGTTCCCTCTTTAAATTCTCTTCTCGTTCTCGCTGTTTTTTTAACTCTTCTCTTTCTCGTTGTCTTCTTAATTCTTCTTCTTTCTCTTGTTGTCTTCTTAATTCCCATTCTCGTTCTTGTTGTCTTATCAATTCCTCTTCTCGTTCTTGCTCTTGTCGCATTTGCTCAAGCTTTCGTCTATATCGTTCTTCAGTTTCTTCTTGTTGTTTCTTCCTTAAATTTTCTTCTTGTATCTGTCTTTCTCTTTCCTCTTGTTTCATTTTCTCAACCATTTGCCTATGCTTTTCTTCAGCTTCTTCTTGTCGTTTTCTCTTTAAATTTTCTTCATACTCTTGTTTTGCCTTTTGTTCTCGTTCCATTTGCTCAACCTTACGTTTGTGGGTCTCTTCGGCTTCTTTTCTTGCAATATCTTTTAATTTCTCTTCGTGTTCTTGTTTGTTTCTTTCTTCCTCTTCTTCTTTTTGACGACGAGCCTTCTCTTGTTCTTGTAGAGACTTTTCAAGTTGTTCAGCGGTATAAACACCTCTCATACTACTAATGAATGTCATAATCTCTCTTAATCGTGCCTGATGAATATAATCATCTGGTGGAAAATAATCAGAGTTTGGAGAGATACCCCAACGATTCTTTATATCCTCAATAAATGAAAGAACAGGAGCATTCCAAGCTTTTTGCATAACGTTTCTATCCCGAATCTGCGATTTAGTTGCATGGGAAAATACAGCAATGATATAATCTATTGCTCCTTCTCCAAAAAAATTTCTTATCCCTTCTAAAACACTTCTTTGTTCAGCACTAAACCGTTTTGCTTCTATTAAATCATTCAAAGTTATTTTGAAAACAAAAAAAGTACAGATTATAAATTCTAATAATTATTATTACAAACCAAGAACAAAAAGGATAGCTTTGATCCCGTAATTGCATTTCTTAACAGTTTTAGCGATTTCTTCAAATATCTTGTCCGTAACTAATTGAGTATCAAAAATCCCAGGTGTATCGATAATATTATACGTTATACCATCGATTGAAATTATAGCTGTGGAACATTCTTGCGTGACAGACTCCTATAAATTTATCATTACCCTTCTTAAAATAATGAGATAAATTTCAAATGAATATGAAATATAAACCACTTGCCATATCCGCTGAAACTTGGAAAGGACCATCATCGTGTGGTTGCTTAAGAAGCAAGTTACCCAGAGTACTTTTTCCCGCGCCTAAAAATTTTCATAATTAAGAGTGAAGGAGAAAAGGAAAAAAAAAAAAATATTAACCAAACATTATACCTGTTTTTCCTACTAACAAAATAGCCGGATAGGAAACATCGTCAGTGATACTAAATGTTAAAAGAAATCGAAAAAAGTGTTAAAGGAAAATTTTGATATTAATTTATTTCATAAATATACTTAACTGGCTCATATTGATATCAAGAAAATACTTTTTTTTCTTTGAAAGAGTATCCAAGATGTTACCTATTTAAAAAAAATTTTATGGAATTTATTTGGAACATAATGGTCAAATATTCTAGTAGATAAATATCTGTATCACGAAGTATTCCCAAATTGTAGATCTTATACAAAACTGGTGTTGTCGATCGGTGAAGTTTACCTTATCAATAACTTTATGTCATCAGATTATTAGGTTACTCCAAAAATCGAACCCATTTTTGCCATATCGGATTAGTGGATGACAAAATCTTTTTCGTTAATCATAGTTAAAAATCATCTATAAAATCATAAAAGTCAAACTAGCACGTTTTCTCATTTTATCGTGTGAAAATAAAATTCATACATGTGAAGATTTGATCAAAATATAGGGTATTGTTCTTTTCTATCAAAATAAACCAGTTGAGTAATAAATATTATAAAATAATTATTTTTATTACAAACTTCCTTTTTAATTTCTTTAAGAAATTTTCTTTATTTCAAAGTTAATCTTACAAACAAAAAATCTGATCACATGACTTAGAAATATCAATTAATCCAAGGATAAAATACAAGATAAAATCAAATATCAAATCCGGGATAAAATATAGATCAAATTCAGGATGAAATATAGATCAAATCTGGGATAAAGTGTGGATTAATCCAGGGTTGATAATGGAATGTGATGTAATTTTTGGTAATTAATCCGGGATAAAATGTGGACAGATCCGTAGGAAATCTGAGATGAAATATGGACTAAACTATTTTCACCACAGGGTTTGATCTAGGGTTTAATCTCAGACTTTTGAGCTTCATACAAAACTACCTATAGACGGAGTGTTCCATTGTCGATCGGATTGATGGGTGAAATTTTCCGTATCAATAACTTATGACCATTGTTTCCTCTAATAATGTTCATCAGGTTATCAGGTTACTTCAAAAAATCGAACCCATTTTTACCATATCGGATTAGTTGATGACAAAATCATTTTCGATAATCCTAGTTAAAAATTATCTTGAACTTTAATTTTTTAAAGAAGAAAAATCATGAAAGTCAAACTAGCAAGTTTAAAACCTTATCGATTATTTATTTTTAATCTTCTAATAATATATCTTTGTTCCTTATCTAAAAACATTGTATTTTTGGTTCTTATTATTTCCAATATTGGAAATTATGGTATGATCTGCATCTTTGCTCTCATCATTTTTTCGTTATTCTCATTTTTTATCGCAAAAATCACATGGGAAAAAATAAAATTCATACATATGAAAATACTCAGATGGAATTATAAATAGGCTACGTCTGAATATTGTGAAAATAAAAAAAAAATAGTTTCTATCAAAATGAGCCAGTTGAGTAAAAATATATAAAATAATTATTTTTATTATAAACCTTCTTTGTAATTTTTTTTAATAATATTTAGAACTTTTGATAATGGGGAAGAACAAGGCAACATCGGATTTACTGAAGGTGTTCGAATGGATGTTGGCAATCCGGTTATTCTCTTAGTAGGAAAAACAGGCAAGTGTCCTGATTAATTCTTTCTTTTTTTTGCGCTTTATTCTTTTCCATATTAATTAAATGGTTAACTAATAGGTGCGGGAAAAAGTACTCTGGGTAACTTGCTGCTTACGCAACCGCATGATGAAGGACCTTTCTACGTTTCAGCGGATATGGTAGGTGTATATGGTTTACATTCATTTTGAAATACATTTTATTATTTTGAAATTCAGGAAGAAAAACATAACGAAATAGGAATCTGTCACGCAAGTATGTGGTACAGCAGCTATGTCAATCGATGGTATTAAGTATAACATCGTCGATACACCCGGAATCTTCGACACTCAAAAAGTTACAGATGATGTGCTTAAAGAAATCGCCAATGCCGTCAAGAAATGTGCTTATGGAGTTAAAGCTATCCTCTTTGTTTTTGGTTTGTAATGGCATTATAAGATATATCTTGTACCTTAAATTTGCATTTCGAATTAAACTTTATCATTGGTTCACAGAAGCAAGACGGTTTACTGATGAACAGAAAAATGTTTTGGAGGGAATAAGGAGATTTCTTGGAGAAGAAGCAATCAATTACATAATTGCTGTATTTTCCCATGCAACTAAAACGCAGATTCGGGATAGAAACGTTATGCGACAAGCTTGGAATTCTCCTGTTCGTTCATTTATTCAGGACATAGATAATCGTTGGGGTATCGCTCCGAACTCTGATTATTTTCCACCAGACGATCCAGTTCATAAAGCACGATTAGGGGAGATCATGGCATTCATTAGTGGTATGAGAGGTGTTTATACTACTGATCAACTTGAAAAGTCTAGGAAAGAACAAGAAGAAATTCGACGTCAAAGAGAAGAGGAGGAAAAAAGGATAAAGCAGGAATACGAAGAGAAACTAAAAGAAACTGCAAAAAAAGAGTCTGAAGAAGCCTACAAACAGAAGATTGAAGATCTTAGACAGGAATTTAGGGCGAAACAAGAAGAAGAAGAGAAATTAAGGAGAAAAGAAAGAGAAGAAGCCGAAGAACGGTTTAAAAAAACGATTGAGTCGATTCAAACAGAGAATAGAATGCAACGGCAACAAGATGAAAATTTAAGAAGAGCAGAGCGAGAAGCAGCCGAAGAACGATATATGAAGTCAATTGAAATGATGCGACAGGAGCACAAAGAGCAGCAGGAAAGAGCTGAAACAATGTTTAATAATAAGATTCAAGAAGAAGAACGAAGACGTGATCGAGATGAGAAAGATAGACGAGAAGAGCGAAAACAAGCTGAAGAAACCTATAGAAGTAGAATTGAGGAAGCAGAAAAGAACCTTAAAAATCGAGAAAATAATGAAACTATGAGATTAATGAAGGAAATGCAAGATCGTGAAAAAAAAGCAAATTTAGAATATGCGAAACAAATTGAAGATTTGAGAAAAAAGAACGCGTTAAGTCAACAAGAACTTGAAAAAGCCAAAAAAAAAGGTTGCTTTTCTCTTGATACCAAGGTGCAACTTGCAAATGGTAAATTTATAGAAATGGAAAAACTTCAAGTTGGCGATCGCATTTGCAGTAATGTCAGAAATGGAGAGTTGGAAATTTCTGAAGTTTACCTAATTGCTCACCTTGGCCATTTTGATCATTCTCTATCAATGACGAATATTGAATTCACAAGATCAGATGGACAAAAAGGTATTTTATATTCCATCACTTTGAATTTAAACATTTAAATTTCTTAATTAAAACTTAATGGCAATGTTGCGCTTTTCATTAGGCCAAATTCGCACAACACCCACGCATTGCATTTTTCGCGAAGATCTATCAATCTTATATGCTCAAGACGTAGTGCCTGGTGTGACAAAGATCTTACTTTTGGACGAAACAAATGAACTTACTCCTGTTGTTGTCGATAATTTGATAACTGTATGATTGTTTCATTAGTATTTTTTGTTCCAATTCATCTTTCATGTATTCAATTTCATTTTACCTTTTAAATTAGGATGAAGACACCGGATACATTAGTTTCTATACACGTGCTGGTACTGTTATTGCCAACAATGTTTTGTGTTCATGTTACGATGATTGCCCACAATCGCAAACTTTGATGGATTTAGTATTTGCACCAATTCGTTTGTGGACTAAAGTATTTCCCTCTAACCATCGGCAGGAAGAACTTCATCCATACGCGAAAACTCTGGAACACATCTATTTTAATTGGCTCATCAATGGTAAGAGGTTATTGGGTCTTTCGTAGATAGCTATGAATAAATATATTTCAAAAGACATTTGTAATTTCTTTGTCTTGTTAATTCTTTTTCTAAAATATCAATAAAGTAAATATTTTGCAACTTAATCATGTTAATTATATAATCATATAGTATTCTGTAATTTCGATAATGCAATGTACGATAGATCACATTTTTTTTCCCAAGTTTTTTTTTTTAATAAACACTTTATCCTACAATGATATTATTAAGTAAAAAAACCACTTATGCCAATAATAATTCATATATTTAAGGGTATCCTTAACCACCCTGGATGTAGATTATTATCCTATACCCCCTTTTTCTTGGTTCAAGATATGGCTCAGCTAGCCACATTTATCTTAGAAAAATATTATGTATTTAACACTGTAATTCAACTAAGTATACAATAAAATTTAAATTTTGCGAATTAAAAAAGACTTTAAAAGGTTTATTATTTTATTTCTTTTTTGTGTAAATTACAATTTGTACCAAAAACCAAAATTCTACTGTTATAAAACAACTAATAAAACGTTCTAAAATCAAGTTTTCTTTAAAAATAAAAGAAAAAAAAAGAAATGTTGAAAAAGATTAATATTTAATAATAAGTTAAAAAAATAAAAACAACTAATATTACACAAAAGTTAAAGTGCTAAAACCAAAAAGAACTCCCAAACGAAATGCTTCTAAAGAAAAGAAATGGTCAAATAAAAAGAAGTGTTTAAAAAGAAGAAAAATTAAAAAAAATTAGTACTTGATAAGTAAAAGTATTTAATACCATGTAAAGCTTACCATGTTTAAACAAAAATAATGCTCCAAAGCGAGGACCCGAAAAATACTGAAATAAATAAAAGGAGAGAATACGTAGAATAGGAAAAAATAATCATGTAAATGTTGGCCAGAATTAAATTTCTTGTTTTAGTAACTGACTGACACTATCATAATTCCGGCCCTGAAAAAATGCGTACACTCGTACAGCCAATAGTAAATTTTATTATTTTTTTTGGTTGGACCTTACCTATTTTAATATTTTCTGGGTCCTCCAAAGCGTCCCTAGAAAAGAGAGAAAGGTATTTAAAATTTTTTCTAAGGAAAAAAGTATTTTAAAATAATTAGTCCAAAAAAAGTAAAAAAGAAGTGAGAGAAAAGAAAATATTAAATTAAAGAAAGATTAGGAGGAAATATATTACACAGTTATTCAAGATTTCAAAAAAGGAAATTCTGTACAGATCCTTTAATTCTGGCCGGATTTTGTGATGTAATATAAATGAATAATTGATTAATTGTTATTGTATTTTCATTAACCCTCATATCAAATAATTCGATTTATCCCATCGGTATTATGTATATACCGATGGATTTTTTTGTTACTTATTCCACTGGGTTGTAATAAGTGTTAATGATAATAAAATATTCATTTACAATGCAAATTATACATTTTTTGTAATAAAATACGCGTTTAATACATTTTTTTAAAATTTTTTTATGCTTCAAGTTATTTAATAATGAATATGAAAATGCACATCTTTAACTGTATCAGGAATAATTATTTTCGAAAATTCTGATTGTGCTTCACATTTTCTCTTTCTTTGTGTAATATTACAAATATCGGTATCAGTATCCTTTAATATTTGTCGTTTTTTAGCTAATTTAAAAATGTTAAAATTAAATATGGGATCAAAATACATAAACAAATAAATTTTTATTAACCACCTTTATTATCTGTTTGTATCAAATCACAATCTTCATCAGAATTTTTACCAGAATTTACCTCACTTGAACTTGAATTATGCTCAATTTCGCCTAAATCCTCTCTATCATGTGAATTTCCTTGTTCTTTGTTTGGTTAATAATCAATATTTTACCTATTATTTATTTATTGGAATTATCAGAGAACCCATTACCTGAAAATTCTGAATCACTGTCATCATTATCATTTAAATTTTCCCACGAATTCCCTGGAAAATATTCAAATTCTTCTACTTCAATATCTTCAAAGTCTAATGGTATCAAACTAACAACATTTTTAATTTTTCTTGCTTCGTCTATGCTTTTATAAGTTCTTACTCCTTCCCGTGATCTGTGGCCAGAAAATTCCATAATTTCATCTTCTGGAATATCTCCATCTTTTAGCATTTGTATTGCCGTTCTACGACAACTGTGATTAACAATTTTCCGACCATCAGATAATTCAATACCTGTTAGGGTAGCAATTTGATGCAACATTTGTCCTAACTTATTTTGTCCCATTCTCTTTTTTTATACCACATTCCTTTACTAAGATCTAAAATAAAATAAATATTTTCTTAATATTGTTATTATCAATAAAAATGTTGGTACATTTATTTACCTGCTTTTGATCTTGTAGTTTCTAAAAAAAATGATGGACATGCATCTGAAGGTCGCATTGATTTATATTTCAATATATCAAATATGGGCCGATAGTTATTTCCTTCAAAATCTGGTGGAATTGGAATTTTACGTGATGTAGATTTACCATACTTATTTCTATTTCTTACACCTCTTTGATTATTTTTTTCAATGAACATTTCCAAGTTTAATCCACCATCTTTTCTTCGTGTTAATTGCCGATCTTCAATTTTGTAAGCATCCCCACCTCGTAAACCACATAATAAAGAAATCCAAAAAAACACTCTTCTTATTAAGGACTCATTATCCTCACCATTCATTTATAAATGATCCAATATTTGTTGAATTTCTTGTCTAGTTAATGAATCTGCTTGTGAAGTTTCTCCTAATCCTTGAAGTTGAAGCTGTTTCATTTTACCATCTAAGGTTTTAATCGCTAAAGGAAAGGAATATTGATCCCAGATTTTGCATGGTTTAATAACTGACTCTTCCTTTAAATACCTTGCTAATGATGCATAACAATTATATACAGACTCTGCTTTATAGTTTTCGCCATTTTGTTTTTTAAGCCATGTAATGAACTTGCATAAAAATCCTTCAAGTTCCGTATGAGTGTCATATTGATCAATTTTTTTAATTATATTGGCTTCATGATTAAATCTATCAACTACACGAAGCCATTTTGCAGTACATTTGTCTGTATTTTTTACTCTTGAAAGTTGTTGAATTTGATATATTTCTTCATTTGTGGGAATAGACATTATAATAGGATTATTTAAAAGTGGCAAAATATATATGAAAAAAGAAAAATGAAAAAGGAGTAAGAAAAAAGAATGTAAAAAGTAAAAAAAAAAGCAAAAAAAAGCTTAAATATAGTAAAAAAAAAATCCATCGGTATATACGTCATACACAATGAGATAAACCTGTTATTATATGAAAGCTTAGAATAACTCAGTATTCACTGATGTACCCCTCCCTTCGGGGGGGCCCCACATCAGTGAATAACCTAGTTTTCTCAGATATCCATGGAATAACAAGTATAGATTTTTTTGTACCGACATATCCTGGAATACATTAGATCATTGACAATCATTTGTTAATGTTACCACCAATTTATGACGTTTGGTAGGTAGTAACAGAAAGAAGAATAAGGATCGGTATGTGAGTGGTAAGGTAATATGGCGATATATAACAATCGGTAAGGTAAAAGTGTATGTATGAATAGTCGATAATGAACGATTATAAACGATAATAAATGATGCGATAAATTAGGGTGGATCAAGTGGTATGTGTATATAACAATTAATTAGCAAATATGTATAGTAAATTAACGATGTATAACGAAAGTTAATAAATGATAATAAAACGATAATAAACAATGTAATAAAATATGTATCAATAATTCGGAAGCAAATCGACAAGTTTATTCATAAAAAAAAATACGATATTACTGCCTCAACCGGCGCTTTGTAATATCCGTATATCTACTATACAATAAAACTAGACGAATTCTAACTGAACTATCTATCTTTCAACACCGGTCCTTTATATAACATTAAATTTTTAGGACGATTCTGTCCTTCGGACATAATCGTCTCCCAGCCAATATCGTTTCCCGGCCAATTGTGGCGATCTGGGCACATTTGTCTATACAGCCACTTGTATTCAGCCACTTTA